TGTCTATCTATCTGTCTATCTATCTATCTATCTATCTATCTATCTATCTATCTATCTATCTATCTATTTGAAGTCCCCCTGAGATTTAGTTAATATTTCAAATATTTTTTCGACCAATTTTTTTAAATGTAATTTTTATAACAGTAATCCCATTTAGATATAAACAAGTAATCTAAAATTAATCCAAAAGTAGTCAGAACACATTACCTAAAATTAGTAATCTAGATTATATTACTACAATTTTCTTCATGTAATATATATATATATATATATATATATATTATGAGTCCAAACTCCAAACCATTCCAAGTAATTGTTAATTAGGGAAAGAGAACATGTTACCTCCCAAAGGATGAGGCTGTTTTCACACTGCACAGCTGCGAGTGGAGATTCAGTAGTGCTTCCCTACAGAGATCAGGGCACATCTACAGATTCACGCATGAGCGGACAACAAAGAAACAGCGTGTGTGTTTTAGTTTGGTTTGTGCTCCATGAGGAGTGGTTTGGAAGGGAAATTAGGGCAGCCTCCGCTGGATAATTATTGTCGCTCTGTAATCTCAGCCCTCTGTGTCTGTAGGCAACCTACGATAGCTGATGTGGGTTCTCTTTAAGACTTCAGTCTGTCGCGTTGAGCATGAGTGAAGCAGGATTATCGTTAGTAGGATTACATATCCTCTTTAATAAAGAAACTCAGATATACTGAGATTATAACTGCATTAAGTGTGCTCTTACAAACAGGATTACAATCAAAGGCTCTCTATTACTTAATTTAATAATAATAATAATTAATGATAATTTATGCATTTAGCAGACGCTTCTATCCAAAGCGACTTACAGTGCATTCAGGCTATACATTTTTTTACCAGTATTACTAGATAACATGACTATCTGTGAAAAAAGTGCATAATGTTTAAAATGTTTATAAACCAGTTATAATTAATTAAGTTGCTTTTAAACAACTATAAACAAAACAGCATCATGTATGTATTCATAGTTTAATACAAAGGGCCGAAAGCCAATCACACAGATTACATTTTTCATTTAAAAACACGAGTTGCAGTGGGATGGGGGAGAAAACCCCGCCATAAAGTCTCGAGATATGTTTTTACGTCCCATATGGTACTTTTAATATGAAACAAAGTCTCAGATTTCAAATTCTGTCCATTGTATTGCAACAATAAATGCCGTTTTGGCGCTGTTTAATGTGGCGTGACAGATCGCTGTAGCGCCTCAGTTTAACAGCTCGAGGCGCACGTGAACTAATCATCTCCTCCACATTAATACCAGTTTCAGCACAAAATAAACATGACTAAACATCCGAAGGTAAGTTAAAAGAAAGAGTACAACTTTACAATCCGTATCCTGTCTCATGTAATCGCTCAATCAGTGTTTCAGTCGCGCAAAGACGTCAATATAACGTCAATATCAATATAAATAATGTCACGTAATGTCACATTTACCTCAGAAAAACATATTCGGTGACCATAAACTCATTAATCAGATAGAAAAATAAACTGTAGAGAGGGGCATTTTGCTTAATATATGCACCATATAACATATTAATTATAAATGTTACTGTTCTTCAATGTTTAATTTATGTTTGAATAAATCCATCAAGATTTTATGACAGCCACCATTGTTTATATAAAAAAAAAAAAAATTGAAGTAGAAATATTATTATGTAATTGTAACTTTATTACTTTAAAAACTTCATTAAGTGAAATCTTAAGAAATCAGTTAATTTTAACCTTCAGCATTATAGTAATGTAGTACCAACTGACTCTCATGTATATTTTACAGCATTAGTTGAGAGATTTTTTTCCCTTGAGAAAATTTGGCATATACTGTACCTGATATATATCCAAAATAATCGACATTGAATCGAATCGAATTGGTAATCGAATCAAATCGCAATCGTGTGAATGAGAATCGAATCGAGTCGTGAAATTTGTGTCAAAACCCAGCCCTAATAATTACACTGTAAAAAGGACACCTTAAAATAAAGTGTAACCAGTTAATCTTTAAAAACCCTAACGATTTAGTACCACTGTTAAATGTAATTTTTGCATGTCAAAATTAATATACATTTTTCATACTTTACACTGTTTTTTTGCCTAAATTCATTTGTAGCATTTAAACTACTGATTTGAGTTTTTAGTGTTTTATTTTCAATTTATTTAGAAAAAAAGTAGCATACAATTTTAATATTGGCCATTTATTTGTTCTTGGACACAGCATAAAAATAATTAGTGGCTTGTCCTATATAAGGCAGAATTTGAATATCGTGCA